ATAGTTCAAAGTAATATCTGGCCAAATAAATCTGTACCGCAACAGGAGCAGGTTTTAATGCTAACAGATGGTTTGACAGGATTATGAAAGACACAAAGGATGCATGCACTTAAGGGACACACATGCACAAGAGATGATGAAACACCGAACAGGCTTGTAGCTCCTTGCTTAATGGTAATAATTCATCTTTATATAGCAAAGCAACTTGGAAGCAGCCGTGTGACCCAGCTGCGTGTGTCATGTTTTATTTTAATTGGTTTAATTGGGTAGTTACTTTTCTCTCTCTCTCTCTCTCTCTCTCTCTCTCGCTGAAGCTTGGCATCCTGTACTGTCCTGGAAGTCGGTCGTTTGTTAGGGCCTTTTATCACATTTTCATTTATTACATTTATTTATTTATTTATTTATTTATGATTTGCATTTTTCTAGAACTAAATGATTACTCAACATAAACACATCCTCAGACCAAGGAACAACTGCACACACATTTTGTCTATAATATGTGGCCAAACTTTCATCTGACAGGCCCAATAGATCTTTCTATAGAAGATCCAATGAGCTTCTTCATAACACAGCACAGTGCAAAAAAATGGCTTTGATTAAACTTTCACTAATTAAAGTCTTCCTCATCTTATAAGCCCGACTAATTGATTTAATTTGTCTTAGCCCAAACTATTGGCTGTGACCTCTACTTAGTTAATGAATTAATTGATTTAGACCAAGAAGTCAAAGAGGATTTTTGACATGTTGCCCCTTTAATCTTGCTTACTCTGGACACTCTTTGGGTCATAGAGGCAGTGTATTGGTGGAAGGTTTTGAGGGTGGGAGGTGGAGGGCGGATAGCTTCAGCTGTGGATTATTTTTTCCACTCCACCAGGATGCAATTACAGAGTAGATTGGGCCTTCTGCAGTTTGTCAGTGGATGAAGGAGTAGCCAGAGCGAGGACATTTTAAAAGCACCATCCCTCAGGTACTTGTAAACTTAGAGGGGGGGAAGCAGAGAATATTACCCCTGACTAACCTCCCTCGTGAAGAAGAGGCAGCGCTCTACCTCTTCTTCGTGGTTTGGAAGAGAAAAATATGAGTCAGTAACATTGCCATAATGCAGCAAACATACATTACAGAGGCTTTTGAATGTCCTAAATCAGTAGCATCTACTTTATTGACATCATTTTTCTTGGTAATGGTAAGATACATCGGAGCTTCCTCAGCACATGGGAAGTTATTAACCAGATGCGGGGGGAAGCCAACATCTGAACTTGGCACCATTTGGTGGGTGGCATTTGCAGCTGTAATGGCACTAAATGTACTAATTTATGAAAGAAGGCAATAACATAGGAGGTGGGTTTGTTCAGAAGAGCCTCGAGGAGGAAAAGAAGAGATAGCTAAGTGCCGTGCCCTTTAGTCAGCCATGCGAGGGGAAACCTGGAGAAATAGCTCCCTCCAGTGGTGGTAAATTAAAATGTTTTCCTTCTTCGGCTGAAATCCAAGCTGAAAAGTCTCATCCAACAAGGAATAAATGTTTCAGAAAATAAAAGCAAAGGAATGAAAAGTGTGACACACATTTATGTAAAATGATCAAAAAAGGTTTCCAAACTAAAACTCTGCTTGCTCTGTTTAGTTTGATTTGTAGTTTAAGTGACTGATATCAATTAAAAATAAATGTAAATTGCATAAGAGTGAATAAGATTTTGAGAGCTAGTGAATGTGTTTAAGATGCAGTATACTTGGTTTTCCACTAATGAAAGTTTTATTGTTTTCATATTTATCTTATTCTGCACTTTAGTTTTCACACGTGTCCCTTTCTACTGGGCCAGTATTATTTATACCCAAGAACAGGATATGTCTCTTTGCTTTCAAGACCTTTTTTTTTCTCTAAATGTTCACAATTTATCTTTTAACAAGAACCAGAGAACCAAAGTGCATTAAAAGTTTAAGTCTCAAGAGGAGTTAGGGAGAAAGATAGGCAGGAAAGTTTCTCACCAAGTGGAATCAGTCCAATAACCTGTGCTGCAGGTTTTGTCCCCAAAGAGATCCAAAGACCCATTTCAAAGCTTGGTAAAAAAAATAATAAAATTTTTTTTAAAAAGCGTGTACAGCTAAAGGCGAACTATTGGATACTTATATGACTGGGTTGTGATAAAATTGTCCATGAAGAAAAGTGTGGATTCAGCCTCTATCCCTAATGGGAATAACATGCAGATTTAAGGTTCACATTTCCAGGGGGTAACATTTTTTTTCTATTAAAAATGAGAATTATCCTTGTTTTTCACCTGAAGCTTGCACAGAAGTTGTCTCTCGCTAAGCCAAAGGTCACATTTATACATTAGCGCTAATGATTACATGAGCAAATGATAATGAAATGCAGCATTCAAAGCTTCGCTTCCAATAAGCGCTACGGCAACGACCCTGAGCTTTTAAGAGCTCTTTAAGAGAAAACGTTCTTGGTAAATATCTCACTGAAGGAAGCAATATAGGCATCTGTAGAATACAACAATACTGTCTGCAACATATAGAATATGAGTGGGTTTAAAGGCTGCACTAACTTATCTATGCCCACACACAGTTGTGATACAGACGGAGATTATACACAACAACTGAAATGCAGGTTTTGATAAGAACAGATTTTATTGTAATTACAGTGTAACTTTTATCAAATATGCGCACCATGGCACCTTGAAGAGTGTGCTGTAAAATGTATGGTGCCGTTTTAGATTTATTAAGTAATACAGAGAAAAATTGGGGGAAAGGGAGATCGGCGAGAGACATTTTTTGATTCAAGGAGTGAAGAGAACCACTACAAACTTATAATGGAAAGCGCTCCGATAACATTTTGTGCCAGTGAGCACAGAAAATACTAATTTTAATAAGTATACGGCCGTTAAATTTGTAAGGTCAGAGCTGACTTCAGACTTTGGCTACCACTCAAATTATTATGCTATGGATTTCATTACTAAAATCAATCATAATGCAAAAGAAAAGCACACAGATTCATATATTCAGCCTCGGTGACAGCTTAATGTTTGTTTGATTAAATATTATAGGTTTGTTTTTCTAATGTTGCATAATACACCTTTAAATTCTTAGCAAAGTGACCCAGATCCCTATTAACAACTGTAATAAACGCCTTTAAAATAATTTAAAAAATACCCCTGCATTTATTATGACTTATGGTCACCTGCTGCCATCTGGCTTGCTGACAGATACCAGAGATGTAATCCTTGGGCTGACCAATAAATCTGCCCAGTGAAGGTTACGTGATATACAGAGAGACCATGTTTATGTGGCACACAGCTTATGAGGACGTCCAAATGGACACGCATAGCAACAGTGTGTTTGGTTTGCAGACTGCCCTTTACAGCGTCTTTTTACTAAAACGGCCGAAAGTCACAGGACTCCAATTTGGCTTCTCTAACACACACGTAGGTTTAATAGGTCAAGGTAAACTAATGCAGTCTAATGCAACAGTCCTAAATGGTAGCTTTTATTGCATTTGGTGTGGTAAACAACACACCAATCAGATGTTATTGTGATTTTATATATATATATATATATATATATATATATATATATATATATATATATATATATATATGTATATATGTATATATATATATATATATATATATATATATATATATATATATTATTTAGCAGTATTCAGAAAGGCTGAAAATGCTTTTTTTAATGCACTAGCTGTGTTCTTGCAGTTTTATATTTTCATTGACATTACATTACTCACATTGTTATAACTTTGATTATAATAGGGGGGCATTTGTCAAGGGCAAGATTTAAGGAATTCAGAATATTTGTGAACGGATCTGATTAATGAGACATCCAGGTGACTGTGAACACACAGTTAGATACAGCATTTCTTGCAGTTTTGCTCTATAAACCACCACAGTGGATTTCAAATCATACACTATGTGACTGTGATTGAAGTGCAGACTTTACGTGTTAATTCAAGGAGTTTTATGCAAAATTCTGCATGAACTTTTTAGAACTGCAACCAGTTTTATACACAGTCCTCCATTTTCAGATGCTCGAATTTAATCGGCCAAACTCACATCAATGTTTATCTCTTATGATCATTTTGGTGTTAGTTACTCTGGGTTTCATCTGTCCAAAGTTTGTTTGTTTGTTTTTCAGAACTGTGCTGACAACGTTTCCGACAAATACAATCTTACCTACTTCCTTCCTAGTCTTGAGTGTAACCAGTGGTTTGCACTTTGCTGCAAACCCTGTGTATTTCCATTCATGAAGGCATCTCTCGACTTTAGGCATTGACAATCATACGCCTACCTCCTTGTAGGAGTTCTTGACTTGTGCAGTTGTTTTCCTTAACCATGGAAAGAATTCTGTCATCATGCACTGTAGTTACCTTCTGTGATCTTTCACACCTTTAGGCATTGCTGACCACTTCTTGAGGATGTACTAAAAAAAATTTAAACTTGGCCACTCCATATATATATTTTATGTAAAAATAAAAAATAAAAAAACACCTTGAATTAAAACCAAAACACTGCACTTCAATCACATATTATCATTGCTAATTTACAATCCATTGTGATGGTGTACAGAGGCAAAACAACAACAAAAAAGAAAGAAAAACATAATAAAATGGTAATGTGATATTTCCTGGATCTTATTTGCACACTGTAAGGACTGAAACATATCCAGGAACTGTGTGCTGCTTTTCTAAACGTTATTCATGCTGAAGAAATGTGGTCTAAAGGCCAAATGGTTGTGAAACTCTGACCCTTGAAGTTAGCTTAAACTAATACTATTAGCCTTCGAGTTGTAGTAGGCCTACACACATATCTACAGTCGACATATTACGCAAACCATACGTAATACTTGCCTAATACGCGGTTGCTAAAATAACTGCAAAGCAGCTGAACGTTACATACGAGCAAACAAGCACAAATCTAAACCAAGCTCCTTTTCTTGAGGAGCACTTCCCCTTTAAGTCGGCTTCTGCCGTCACAGCAGGATGACTCGTATATTTTGCGACAGGACGTAAACGCGCCGGCTCGCTGCCGCCTTCACGGTTTATCTTGAGAAAGAAAAAAAAAAAGGAAAATAAAGCTTGTATGCATGTTGCTGGAAAATTTAAATAATGTGACGCAATCCTCTGGACGTATGCGAGTCAAACAGCCTTGATATTTTGTTTCGTTGTGGAGGAAGACGTCTCGGTGTTTCATGTAAGATTCTGCACTGTTACTTAGCTCTAGACCACAATATGAAGAAAGGATGCTTTGGGGTTGCATATACTATGCTGTGGCTATGTTTTAATCATCCAAAAATGATCACTAGCTTAAGTTTTTTAAATATACATAGGTCTTTTTCAACGTGCATATCTATGGGTATTGTTTGCATAAGCTTGCCTTTCTTGTAGGTGTGTGTGCCGTTTGAATGTGCATTTAAAAGCATGTTAACCATCTTAATTTCTCCACAGAGCCTTGTTCCATTTTTAAAGAGAACCCCTGACTGACAGCAGAGGGAAGCGAGCACCCTGGATCCCCTCCCCATGAAGCTGACTGCCTCCCCTGAAGCAGCTTTCACATCTGGATCAAGGACTCCAGTGCACTTTGTTGGGCTCCTGTAGCCCATCCATGCCTGTGATCCCCATCCCACGGCGGGTGCGCAGTTTCCATGGCCCCCACACCACCTGCATGCACTCAGCCTGTGGGTCGGCACACACTTCCAAGCTAGTGCGGACTAAGTACAATAACTTTGACCTGTACCTGCGCTCACGCTGCATGTACAGCTTCCTCCGCTTCTTGCTCTACTTTGGCTGCAGCCTGCTGACCTCTCTGCTCTGGGTGTCGCTTTCTGCGCTCTTCTTCCTGCAGTACATCAGCGTGCGTGTGCTCCTGCGCCTGCAATACAAGCTGTCTGTCATCCTGCTTTTGCTGGGGCACCGGCGACTGGACTTGGGTGTGCTTAATGACCTGATTATATACAGCATGCAGATCACCATGTTTCTGGTGGGGGGACTCGGCTGGTGCTTAATGGTGTTCGTGGATATGTAGCTGTGTCATGAGAAACATGAGAAATGTGGCATGTGATTGGAATGTTTTGCACTCAAATACTCTGTTTTATATTTGATTCTGCTGTAGTCAGAAAGGTGCAAAATCTCATTTGGTTTATTGTAGATAAGGTTAAAATCCAATAAGAAGCATCAGAAGCATTGATGCGATCTTTAAACCAGCCTGCGTGGCTTAAACAGTTAAATAGTTGTTCTTTTAAAAAATGTCAGTCCTGCATACTTCAGAGAAGTTAGAAATGTCAAAAATGAGAGTGAGACTTGTGACTTTATATAAGTTATTCTTGTATTTTGTGCCATTTGTAAACCGTCTTAATGGACTTTAAAGGACATCTCGTCTAGGAATGTGTTTGTTCAAAGTCTGTTGCATGGAGGAGTGACTTAACAGATGACTGATGTGCATCATGACTGTGGATGCACGTCAGTGATCTGTGCCACAAAAAAGTCATGCTGGAGCACAAAGAGGATGTCATGATACTGTGTATGAATCAGTGCATTTAAATGATGTTGTGTATAAATAAAAATACAATGTAAAATAGAAAGCACAGTTTTTAAAAAAAAGAAGTTAAATGACTCCACCTGATGAATAAAAAAAAAAAAAAACTTCCCTGGATTCAAATTTGGCCACTGTCTGTTGATTTGGTGCTTGAAGCCTTTGCACACTCCTGTGATTTTTAGAATGCTCCCTGGAAGTCTTGTTCCCGCCCGAATCTGGGATGTGCACTGGATCTTCTTCACTGTGTCAAAACAGTGACGCTTTACTCTGAGTTAGAGTTTAAGGAAGTGTTCAAAGTAATAAAAATCCAAATCTGGTGAGGAAGGCAGATGGAAAGCCACAACTGTGGTATGACCAAAAAAAACCCCCCAGCTTTGAGGTCGCTTGTGCTGAATGTCCTCCCTTAGACAGTCTGACTCCTGGGGGAGGGGAGAGGAGGCGAACTGATGGTGCACAACCTCGTGAGCGACAGGAAATAAGCAACACCTGTGCTCCTAGTTGCAACCAGCCTTCAGACTTGGTCTCATAGCTAGATGACAGATGATGACACAGGTATTGACGTTCCCTTTCTGCGCGAGTTTAAAGCCCGTGGAGGGGGCAAGTGTTTAAAACGTAGGACTTCCAGAGAGCAATCTGAAAATAGCAGAAGTCCTGTAAGTGATGGAGAGGTGAACAAGGAGATGGCAGTGGCCAAATTAAAATCAGGTAAGATGTTTTGGGAGTTTTTTTGCCTTGAATGTGCTGCATCAGAAAGTTTTTGTTGTGTTTTTTATATGTTTTGGGCAAAATAGGGCAAAGGGTATAGCCTGAGTCACAAACATTTTTTTTTTAAAGCTGTTTAATAAATTCTTTTTTTCCATGAGCTGGTTTGTGCTTTACAATGCATGGCCAAATGAATGTGTTTACTGTGTAGTCTAACACTCATGACGGCATGCCTCGAGCTGTGTCATAAGAGTGTGTGACAGTTCAAACTGAAAATGGCTTTGGGTCAAGTGTTCCATCAGTCGTTCTTCACATGGTCTTGGAGCTGCTCTGACAGACTTCTCTGTTTAGCTTCCTCCAGCACGCAAACACCAACCACAACTAGATCCTGCTGTTTGTGCCAAGCATAACAATGGAGATGGCTGTGCCCCAATCACCTTATATAGCCTCATTTTCACATACCGTGAAGTATGCCTTACTGGAACTAATGAAGGCACTGAAATGAGCACTTTAATTCTAAACCTGGGTTTGCTTTGAAGATTTTAACTATTTTTTGTTCTTGTCATGCACAAGCATCAGGTTGGATAGCTATGATTAGGAAAGCATGCAAAAGAGGCTGGAAGTACAGAGCGCCAACTTTAGATTTGAACTTTCAACACAGTGGCTGGTGGGCTGACTGAGACATGCTTCAGACCCACAAGGCCTATAAATGGCTAATCAGAGCAACAATAAGCTTTTGTTCATTGGATCAACACATCATATGCCTCATGTTCTGAGCCAGGTCAGTGTGACAGCCCGAATTACACAGAGAACTAGAGAATATGAATTGTCCCATGATGCCAACATACTCTTTAGGTGGGCTTGATGATTAAGTCATTCGCTGTTCAGTTTCATTTCTTCATTCTGTATGAAAAGCTGATTTATTTATTTTTTTTGCTTAGACTGAATGACTTCTCAGTTTCGCCGACATTTGCATTTGTTTCTATTTTTTCAGCTCTTATCTTGAACTTTTAACCCGGCCTTTGTGAGAAACGATAATATGGAAATGCGTACGAAACACAAGATCGGGTTTTGTTGTCGGTGCAGAAAGTAAAATATCGTGTTTCAACATTCAGCTTTGCAAAATGACAGTTTACTGGAGCAAACAGCAAAAGCTGTCATTTAATTAGGCTACACTTAGGGCTTTTACTGGTTTGGCTGGGCAGAAAGCCACAACTGGGAAAAACAAAAGTCCTTGTAAAAATGAATGACAATAGGTGTGTGCTTAAATAACAAAAGATCATTATACCCCTAACCTTAGGAATATTAAAGTGCTACCACAGACTTTTATAACATATATAAACGTATATACCCTTATGCTGAAATAACACAGGACTAAGTTATTTGTCATCATGGAATAAGTTAGTGTATGTAGCAATGATTGTTAAGGAAACTAATTGAAATACGTTTAAATACTTACACTAACTGTCCTCTTTACTAGCTAAATCTTGCTAGTGCTAGGTTGGGCCCCGTTTTGCCACCAGAAAATGTAATTCTTCGCAGTACAGATTCAACAAGGTGCTGGAAACATTTCTCCAACTGTCATGAGTACAGTACAGCAGTCATGACTACTGCTCTATTGTGCTCATGAAAGTGAGTACAGTGAACTCATTGTCATGTTGAAGAAACCAGTTTGAGATGATCTGAGCTTTTGACAGCGCTGGAAGCTGCTTCCAGCAGAAAATGGATACACTGTGGACATCATGACCAATAATACTCATGCAGGGTGCATCATTTAAAGCATGCTCAACTGGTACTAAGTGGTCGGAAGATTGCCAAGAAAATAACCACTGCCCTGTTAAACCACCACAATTTATACATGATAGGATAGATCCATGCTTTCACGTTGTTCACGTCAAATTCTGACTCTTACATCTAAATTACAAAGCGAAATCGAGACTCATCAGACCAGGCAATATTTTTCCAATTTTCTGCTGTTTAGTCTATGCCTCTGTGCTTCAAGGTCTGATGTGTTGTGCATTCAGAGATGCTCCTCTGCAGAACTTTGTTGTGACAAGAGATTATTTGAGTTCCTGTTGCAGCTCCCTCAGCTCGAGGCAGTCTGTCCCACTCTCCTCTGACCTCTGGCATCAACAAGGCATTTTCACCTAGAAAGCTGCCGCTCGCTGGATATTTCCTCTTTTTCAGAACATTTGTGTAAACTCTTAGGAATGGTCATATGGAAAAATCCCAGCGGTTTCTGAAATACTTAGACTAGCCAACAACTACGCCATGTTCAGAGTCTCTTAAATCACCTTTCTTCCCTATTTTGATGCTCAGTTTTAATATGCCTAATTATACATGTCATGTGATTCGCTAATGACATTTGCATTAATGAGCGGTTGTACAGGAGTACCTAACAAATTGGTATATATATCTATATCTATATATAAATACATACAATACTATCCCGTAAGAAAGTGAAAATAAATAGAAATATCAAATGTTAAATTTACAAAATGCCTGCATGGATAAACATAAAGAGTTGGGTTGATAGAGATGGGCAAAAAATGGGGAACGGGTAAGCTGATTTACACCTGTAGATATTTATACAGCTGGAAAAAAATGCCCAAGTGCTGACTAATTTAATTAAGTGTACGTTTTTGTTATATAAGTATAGTGTAAGATTTTACAATTAGTGGAATCTGGTCAAATGAAATGTGCCTGGTTGGTATTCTTTCAGGTTATAGCAAGCACATTTTCCTTAATGATTTATTATTGAAATAAATAAACCTTTGGTTTTCTATGTTTCAGGTGCATTTTACTCAAAATTATAGTTTAATGTTTATTAAAGTTGACAAATCCATTTTTGAGGGCAGCAGTTAGATATCTACACTCGTTCTATCCAGTTTCACAAAGACACGTACAACTACTGCATTAATATTTTCTGTTTTTCTGTCTTCTGACCTCTAAAGATAATCCAGTCAACCTATAAAATTAATTAACTGGTTGAAAAGGGAGAAGAACGACTGACTCATATGTATTTTGTAAGTAAATGTAAACTCATTTTACATCATACAGCCCTCTTTGAAGTGGACCAGATCAATAAAACTAAATGATGGTGGTTGAATTGAGGAAAGAGAATATGAAAAAGATAGTTCCAAGTAGTTTGAGATATTTATTCATGTGTGGGTTATCTCTCTCATGCTACAGAAGAAATACAAAAGACACAGCCTCTCCACATTTACATTTGTACCCGCTGTTGCTCCATAAATCTGGTACCACAAAAGGTTATCTCACAGAGAGCCTCCTCTTTGCTAGGATCCTCCTGACCTGTACTCTCCCAGTGATGCTGGTGCCATTACAGAAACAAATCTGTCATGTATGCTCACATACAATAACAGCTTTATTACAAAAAACAGTACTATATGTTGACCCTGCAAACATGGCCAAAGATAGAAGCTCTTCATACGTCCATCGGTATGTGCTTGGCTCACATGTGTGTTCAGGCCTGTGTCTATGCTGTGTTTGCTGTGCCTGTGTGAGGTTATGTGTGTCATGTCTGTGGAGTGTATAGATGAGGTGCACGTCTCGGTGGCTGTGTGCTCATGCCTAGATGAGGTTATATATGTACCTGTGTGTGTGTGTGTGTGTGTGTGTGTGTGTTTATCTAAAAATAAAATGTGAAAGAAAACTCATCCTCATCCCTTTCCACATAAAGGGTTCTGGTAGATCACTGCACAGACTAATTATACTATCCTGTAATTATAAATTAATATATAAAGTTTTCATTAACTCACAGAAATGTCCTTGGCAATCGGTGTG